ATTAATTTCTTTCCTCTTGTTGCCCAGGGCAAACTACACACATCATTGGATGCAGGGGCCTTTGCCTGACATCTCGGGACTGGAACATCCTCCACACTTTGGCACTGGCCTGTGTAAACAAATGTCCATGGACTACTTCAAAAGGGCAGAGGAGAAGGTAAAAAAGAGACTGTACTCACGAATGGCAGCGTGACATTAATCTCCTGCAGCACCTCTTCAGCCTGTCTCTCTTTACAAATGCCAGGGCAGCAGCAATAAGAAGTGGGAGGACCAGGAAAAAAAACACCAGCAGCCCATCTCTCAGCGAGGTGTCTTTGATGGGGACAAAACAATGGAGAAGAAAAAAAGAAAGTATTACTTGTGCCATTGTAGCAGTGCCTATTTGGTAGGATTGGTTCTACAACTATTTTCCATTCTTCATAAAACAAAAACCTGAAGAATCTAGTATGACTGCAAGATATACGCCCAAACATTATTTTCTGATTATCTTTTCACAGGGATTGTCTGGTCACAGATGAAAGACCTGTACATGCAACAATACCCTGGGCTATAACAGCATATTGAATTACTGAATCAATACCTAATTCTTCTTTCACTACATTACTGTGAAGATACTTATGAGCTCAAGTGAAAGAGAAGAAAACAGAGCTTCTGCCCTTTGGTCTGATCCTAAATCTTCTCCTACCATTGCTTGTTCTAGGTAAAGAACTCAGGCTCTTAATCTTTACATTTTTATATACAGCAAATTTCTCCACTGCAGTCTGTACAGAAAAAGCCTCTCTCTTTTTTTGCCTGATGATTTGAGGCATTTCTCCAAGCTCCAGCACGATTCTCCAGTCTGTTATTACATCCACATAGTGTCTAGCTTCCCCAACCTCACACCATCTTATGAAAAACAGTCTTCAGCATCATTCTTGGAGTTCATAGGAAGGACTGCATCAAGCCCATATTTATGTACTCCACATGGGCATTGCCCAAGTCTTCTCCAAATTATAGCTTGGATTTGTTCCATATTCAGACCCAGTGAGAAACTTAAGTTTACAGTCTCTATCCATTTGCTTTCTCACATGCATGAATCCTGCTCCTCTGCCCCCAGGCAACACCTTCCCATTTTCCAGAGTCAAATACAGACACAGACAGCTTCCAAGTACAGATACATCACTCTGCCATATCAATCACTGACCAGTACCTCTCCTGGGGAAAAAAAACTACATAAAAAAACACTCACAAAATTCCCTCTCCAGCCCATCTTTTCCCTCCACAAAAAAAAAAAGTGAACCAAAGTCTGCCATCAGCAGTGTCACAAAGCCTCTGTACCTCCCTGTTTCTTTAGCATGTACCTCTCCTATACTGGAAGCTGTTTGGGGCAGGGACTACACTTGTATTTACTGCTGCAAGGCGTGCTGTCTGCACTCAAACATTACACATTAGGAGAAGAGTGACTTGTCAACGTGTGCTGCCCTTGCCCCCCTTGGCCAGATGTTAGCCCTGCCTGTGCTGCAGCTGCAGGGGCAGCTGCCCATCCCTGCCACCACTGCTGAGGGGCAGATTCACAGCCACGGATTTGAACCCACACCCTCAGCCAAATTTCATGTTTTGTTTGGACCTAAGAATGGAAGGGCTTCAGTTCCCAGCTTGGATAAAGAGAAACACAAGAGGATGAGGGTGGCAGAAGTCTCAACCAGCCCGATTTCTTTACAGGTCCCCAGCATCCCCAAAGAGAGAAGTGCAACACCTTGAGCCCTTAACTACACCTTGAAACCTTAACTAGAATAGTCTGCAAATGAAACCTGGTGAAGCAGCAACCACCAGCCCCTTCAGCCCCCCGAGGTCAGATGCTTCAGAGCCACTGGGGACCCAGCCCTCCAGCAGCAGGACGGGCCCCCAGCCCCAGGGCTGCCTCATGACTACTTGCCATTGTAGGGCGGGCCGCTGTCCACGCTGCCCCCGTAGCCTTTCGTGTCGCAGTGCGGAGGGGCCCATCCTGCTTCACAGTGACAGTTCCTGTTGTTGTTGCACACCTGCATTCAGGCAACACAGCCATCAGTCACATCTGTTGGTGACTGGTTTCCACGCATTCAAAGGTGGCACGTGCAGGAGGCAGGACCCTCTGTTCTGTCCCTTCCACAGCACTCAGCCTGGAGACCTTCACCCGGCACCTCCCACGGCAACTCTCAATACCCTTGGCCAGGCGCCCCAAGATTTCACATGACTGAGCAAGCACAGTGTTGCTCAGGATGAGCTTCCAAACATTCACTACCCCAGCTTCTTTTTACTTTTGTGGAGACGCAGAGTTTCAAATTACATTAGTAATACTGGAATTTGGAATAATTCTTGCCTGGCAAAAAAAATTAATATCTTAAGGGCTTATGTCAAAGATTTTTTTGATAGTTTTAGGTTCTCTTGCCCAGAGACATTTTATAGAGTTTTGTAGTCAAACTAAACAGAAAAACTAAGCTACTATCCACCATTTTAAAATTTACTCAATTTACATAGTCACAGTCCAATTTTTCCTGACTGTTAAAGGCATTTT